AGGTTTTTGGGGGAGGCTTGGGTTTTTTTTTTTAGTTTTTTGTCTTTTTGAGACTTCCTATGCAGTTCAGGCTGGACTTGAGCTCACTTTGTAGCCCAGGCTGGTCTCAAACTCACGACGATCCTCCTGCCTCAGCCTCCCAAGTGCTGGGATTACAGGTATGTGACACCACACACCTTGTTTGTTTTTTTTTAAATAGATAATTTAAACATTCTTTGCAGGCTCCTGCTCTTTACTTTCTAAATTAAGCCAATCTATGGACTTTAGTTTTCCTGAGGAATTTTGAGTGTGGTGGGTCTGATGGGGAAGGAGCCTAAATTTAACAGACAGTATGTGGACCTAGATCAGTCACAGATAGGGATCGCCCTGAGTCACCTCGCTGGGCCCTGGGAGTCGCAGTCTTCTTACAAGTACAATTTTTAGTTATGATTTCCCTGTCTCCTTTCTGCCTAGCTTTTATTTCTGCTATCCTAACTCAGGCCCATTACTGCACTCGATCTATTTCTATGGAGTGAAATCATCTGATTCTAGGATCAAAAATAAAGCCAATTAAAATCTTTAAGTCAAATTGTTCAATTTTTGTCCTTTGACAATTCAAGCTGAGCGCTGTGGTGCAGACAAAATACATTGTTTGTGGCCCCTGGAAATTTAGTGTCTAGAAGGTGAGAAAATGTAGAAGCACAACAGTCCCCAAGGTGCCCCAGACTACTTCTGTGCTTGACTCAGAGTTACATGAATGAGAAGCAGAGTAGCCCAGACCAAGATCTGCCACTAACTAGGTATGTGATGTTGAGCAAATTCCTCTCTTATTTTCTGAAGGACCTCATTTCTTCTTATTGAAAATGAGAGGAGCTGGGTGGGGGTGTGCACACCTGTAATCCCAGCCCTCAGGAGGCTGAAACAGGAGAATCGCTTGTGGGTTCAAGGCCACCCTGGGCTATATAATGAAACCCTGTCTCAAAAAAATAACAAACAAAAAAATTAAAATAAAATGAGAGGGATCTAGGCATTATAGGTCAGTGGTAGAGTACAGGCCTAGCATTCATTAGGCCCTGGGTTTAAACCCCAGCACAAAAAATAAAAAATGATGAAATTCAATGCTGTGCTATTATCTTAAAAAGCCTGGGTGATTAGAGACCCTGCCTGAGGCAATATCTACTAACAGAGACAGCTGGGTTGAGGAGAGCAGTCCATGGCATTGGAATACCTGGGCTGCCTACCAACACCTGGACTGCTACCACCCACTCACTGGCTTTTCTTAGGTTAGGACGCACTCCCCTCCCAGAAACAAGATGTTCTATATACATCGACAGAATCCCTTCTCCCTGGTCTAAGTGATCCGTTTAGATCTCAGATGAAGTAAACCAACTTAAGACTCGGGTGAGGGGTCAGCCAGTTAGAACCAGGCCTGGGGCTCTGCTGGACACACTGGCCTGCAGGTGCCCTTTCTGCTAGCTAGCAGTGTTTACAAGAGCAGCCCCGCAGGTACTGGTGGAGAGCAGTGCCAGGACGTCAGTGGCAAAACAAAGCCAGAGCTAGGATCAAACCCCGTCACGCCAAAACATTCACATGGCCAGTCCTCGCAGGATGAAGTAGTATGCTTTGGACAAGAGAGAGAAGGGAGAAAATTAAAACAAATAACAGGAATTGAGAGATGATTGCCATGTTTCAAGAATGTTTCTTGCTCATGGCTTATAATCTGCTTCCCTTTGCTTGGCTGACAGAGAATTTGCATTCACCTCATATGGAACATCTACACTATATTAATTTTTTTTTTTTTGGTCTTTCTGAGACAGGGTCTCGCTATGTGGTTCCAGCTGGCCTTGAGCTCACTTTGTAGCCCAGGCTGGTCTCGAACTCGCAACGATCCTCCTGCCTCAGCCTCCCGAGTGCTGGGATTACAGGCGTGCGCCACCGCACCCAGCTATCCTATATTAATATTGATGCCATGTTAGAGCCTGTGTAAGCACAGCCTTGGTTTCCAGGCATGACATATTCTGGTTTTCACAGAGCGCAGGCCAGGCAGAGAGGCTAGAAGAAAATCTGCCAACTACAGTCCTTCAGCAGTCCTTCCTTCACTCCAGGGCCTGCTGAAGGAACAAGAGCCTGGAATTATCATCCGTGATCCTATAGATAAGGAGACTAAGGAATGTGGAAAGAGATCAACTACAGAGTTAATTGTTATTAAGACTGATAAGCCAGAGAGATAATGCTTTGCCTTTTATGCATTCCTTTAAGGATTGCCTGAGATCACAATAACAGCAGGCCGTACAAGCTGCAATATTACCTAAGTCTGTCGGGTTTCAAAACCTGATTCTCAAGTCTCACTTCTCAAAATGTGATCTATGACCAGCGGGAGTGACAGCTGGCTACATAATTTGTGTGGTTCAGGGAAAGTAAAAATGTGGCCTCTTGTTCAAAGCCGGGGAAAAGCACCACTCAGTGTACTAAAACGATATCATTTTCTTCTTCCCCACAACCTTTCAACCTGTACTGGTGTTCCCTACTTACTATTTAATGTCATTCTAACTAAAGAGAATTTTCACTGATTAGCATAAATTTATCTTCATCCTGTTACCAAGCAATGTCAAATTTTTTTTTAGATTGGGCCTTTGTTACTGTTTTGTTTGTTTGTAGTGCTGGGGACAAAACCCAGCACCTCATGCCTGCTAGGCAAGTGTTCTACCACTGAGCGGCACCCCCAGTCCCAAGCAGAGCCAGTTTTAAATGCAAATTATACAAACTTTTGAAGGGCAATGTGGAAATCACTGAAATGACACAGCTTGGGGCTTTTTGTTTTGTTTTTTGTTTTTTGTTTGAGACAGGATCTCACTATGTAGTTCAGGATGGCTTTGAACTCACTTATATTATGTAGCCCAGGCTGTCAAGCTTCTGAGCACAGACTATGGGACTTCCAGCTTAGATCCAGGTCGTAAGAGAGGAAGTGAGAATTCTCCTCTCCTGCTCCAGCCCAGGGCCATTTGAGTCCTGAACAGGGCTTTTGGAGCGGGGCTTAACTTTTTGAACCTGATGTTGATCTGGCTTTGGGAATGCAGCTGCCTCCTGAAGAAGCCGGCAATCCAGGGAGAGGGGGGTGGGCTACCTTTCCTGGGGTTTCCACCCCTTCAAGAGAAGCAGAATTGCTTCCTGTCCCAGGAAATATGTCTCATTTCTCTGTGCTCCCGCACGTCACTCTTACATAAACCCTAAAATCTCTGCCTAATAAACCCTTCCCATGCCTCTTACTGATGCAATGGCAATCCTCCTGCCTCAGCCTCCCGAGTGATGGGATTACAGGTGTGCGCCACAACGGCTGGACCACAATTCTTGTAACTTGTGCACACGTCTGTATTTTGTCCCTACCAGGACAGTGAACAAAGCAAGCATGCATTCAACTAACAAGCTCAACCCCTGTGCCTCCTGAAGGATGAGTAAAAAGGAAAAGGAGCTGTCCTTTACTTCTGTGTCACCACTTCTCGGCACAAGAGTAACTCAGGAGAGTAACTCCGTTGAAGCTAACTCCGGAGAGTAACTCAGAAGGGACGCCTTGGGTTCCTCGGCAACTCATGATTCTTAGAACACCATGCCAGACTCTCACCGGACTGTGTTCCCACAGGATATCTCACACACTGTATGGAAAGGGGTTGGCAGATTCATACCGCACTGCAAGGCCCCTTGAATCTCGTGCTGGCTTGTCCCAACAGACTTTACTTACAAAACACAAGTTCAGATTTAACACTACTAAGAATCTCAGGCCGGAGGCATAGCTCAAAGGTAGGGTATGTGTTTAGGATGTCTAAGGTCCTGTGTTCTATCCCCAGCAACCACCACAACAACAAAAAATTTCAAGATGATAACAGTAAGCCAAACTCGGGGCCCTTTGATGACTTCATAGGTTGCAACCCAGGAAACTGTGTTTCCTCAGGAACTTTATTACATGCATATTCTCAGCTTCCCCTGCCTCGGACCTGCTAAATCACAATCTGCATCTTAGCAAGAGCTCCAGGTCAGTCACCTATGGGTGTGCTGAAGTTTGGGAAACTCCAGTGGAGTATAGACCACTGAAGACCCATCTCCCTGGTTAGATGCCCACCCCACTCACTGGTAGGTCAATGAAAGTGGTTTCTCTGGTCTGCCCCACCCGTCTTCCTTCTTTGGGTCCTACTTGCTGCTCCTCAGGACCTATGAGGCAGACTGCCTGCTGGCTTTTCTGAAGCCCTATTCATGAGGCTTTGCTCGGGTCTCAGGTTTCATGTGCCTTTTGTCCATCCAAGATCTGCACATATTCATAAATCTCTGTGGCAAGAGAAAAGACACACACACACACACACACAGAGAGAGAGAGAGAGAGAGAGAGAGAGAGAGAGAGAGAGAAATCTAATAGGAGCTTTTAATTAAAAGACAGATTTTAAAGGCTGGCCAAAGATAGAGCACTCCAAAAGATGAAAGATTCGGTAACTTACCTGTCATAGCTGAGATCCCTTTATTACTGAGAATTCACAAAGGAGTTCACATTCCCCACCTCTGTTAGCTAATTAGTTCCACTTATTTCCCTACTTTTGCTAGCTTTAAAATTTCTCAGAGTGAAAAAAAGTTTTTTTTCTCAGAGGGGCTAATGATTCAGTCTTCTCTTTTACTTTTGTTTCAAATTTTTCACAACTAAAAAAAAATTAGAAAAACAATACCTGCAAATCCTAAAAAAGAAAAAAGACCAGAGTGGAATATTTCATTCTCTTTGCCACTCAAGAAACATCTAAGAATAATAGCTTGAGAAAAAGAAAGCAAATCAGAATTAGGATAGTTTCCCTTTCAACCTCACATCTCAGCTCCCACGCAATTGCCTCAAGCTTTGGCGCAAACCTTGGTGCACCCTTATGTCAGGAGCAAGGGCAGCCTTGCAAGTTGAAGCTCCCTTCTCTATCTGCAGAAGTGAATCTTTTAAAAAGCAAAAGAAGAGGAGAGAGAAAAAAAAAGATGAGAAGTGGGTTCTAAACAGACACCTGCTGCTGCTTTCAGGAGGTGGTCTTCTTTTCCTCTTCTTCCTAAAACCTCCAGGAAGGAGCTGTCCCACTAGCCACTCCCACCGACGGCCATATCACCTCCACAGCTGCTTAGAATTTGTCAATACCTTTCCGACCTATAGACATCCCAGGCTGAGGCTTTCATGTCCCCTGGGCAGGACTGGAAATTGCAAACAGATAAGACAACCTAGAGTTGAGAGGTGAGGAAACACCTCCGGGGTGGTAGGGGACATGACTCAGACCTCCTGCAGAGCTTGAGCTTTCTTGCTGTTCTAACTTCCCTTAATCTTCCCCTACCCACAACCCAGCCCAGAGCAACAAAGAAACAGCCCAGCAGTTAGCTGCTTGGCTTTGAGTTTTTATTGCATTAGCTGAGTGCTGTGAAATATTTGCTTATAAACTGCCCTGCTTGCACAATGATTGCATTCTTTTTTGGATCACCAGCTCGGGACATTTGGTAGCATGAGTGACAGGGCCATTTTAAATTCATGGGAAACACAAAACTCCTTTTGTGAGCATTGGTTTCAGCTGCCGCCTCAGGTAACAAGGGCTGAGCTAAGTTTCCTTCTTTTCCTTTCCTTAGCCATTGACTCTCTGGCCAAGGTGCTATCGAGTAGCCTGGTGACCCACAGGCCAAGGGAGAGAGGAGGCAATGGAAGCTAGCTAATGCACCAGATGGAGAGTAGGCCGGCTTCTTCAGGAGGCAGCTGCATTCCCAAAGCCAGATCAACATCAGGTTCAAAAAATTAAGCCCCGCTCCAGAAGCCCTGTTCAGGACTCAAATGGCCCTGGGCTGGAGCAGGAGAGAAGAATTCTCACTTCCTCTCTTACGACCTGGATCTAAGCTGGAAGTCCCATAGTCTGTGCTCAGAAGCTTGACAGTTAGTCTAGCCCTGTTCAAACCCTGTTTCTGGGGCTGGGGGTTGGGGAGGCTCAGAAGTAGAGGGCTCCCTTAAAATATGTCTGGTCCTGGATTCAATCCCAAGCAACAATAAGTAAGTAGTAATTAAGTAAATGTCAGTTAAAAATCTACCAAAATAAAATTCTACTTCTGCTGTTGGGCAAATTATCTAGCTTCTCCAATCCTCAATATCTTCATCTGTAAACTGGGGTCAATACTATCACTTATCTTACTGACTTCCAGAAAAAAAATCAAAGAGAAAACACAAGCAATGACCTGACACTGAGGGTGCATAGACTCTAATAAGCAGTGGCAATCCTAGTTCGCAGTTATTGTCTTAACTGGAAATCCAGCCCCTCGTTTCCAAGGAACATATGAAGGGTCTCGAGTGGGTAAGGAAAGCCCCACCTGCCTTGTTTCCTGCAGAACCCAGTGGTCTGGGGAGTAAGCTGGAGCCAGAGCCTCACCGTGACCCTAATGTACAGCCTCTCCTCTTCCTTCTTGCCAGTTTCCTCACCCTCTTGTGCTCATCTCTTTCTTTTCTCCTTTCTTCCCCCAACGGCCCCAACGCTTCACTCTTTCCTTACAGAGCAAGTTTAGAAAAGCGGTCCCATGCTGCTGAGTCCCACCTACCTCTCCAAGGCAGGCAGAGCACTGCAGCAGGTGCTCCCAAAGCCAGCCTTCCCCTGTGCTTTGAAAGCAGCATCCATAATTACTCACTGTCCCGCTTTGTCTTTTCTTTGTTGACCCTTCTGCACTTAAAAGGAAACCTTAAGTTTTAGAGTTCCTATAGTTTAAGTCTATGAAATAAACAGGCAATAGATTAACAGGAGAAAAGTCCACAAATGTATTACCATGCTGAAATACAGGAACCATATGCAAAGGATGAGACTCGAAGATCTTTCTCTAAAGCCCATCTTTTTAAAATCTCTATATGAGGTTTGTCAGTCTAGTTCATGGGCCATATTTTGCTCTCTGCCACCTATTTTTATAAATTAAACTTTAACAGTCACACCCATTATTTTGCTCTGTAAACACAGAGAAATACTAGCAACTGAAACAAGCCCTGGAGAGCCTAAATTATAACTCTCTCCCAGTGATAGAAAGAGTTTGCTAACCACTTGGGTTGTATTTTGGGTCACAGGTTTGATGTTTCCAACCCATGATCAGCTAGGTCTGCTGCCTTGAGTCTGTGGTAAGGCAACATTACAGGCAGTACCTGGCAAATCTTAGAAATAAAGGGCAAATCTGGTGGAAATTTTTGCTGGGAACTCTGAAGAAATGGCTTTATTTCACAGATTTGCTGTTGAATCACTTAGATTTTTGATGAGGTTCCCTCCTTAGCTGTCCTCAAATTATACTTATCAGTAGTCCTTTATTGTTTTTTTTTGTTTTGTTTTTTCTTTTTTTGGTTTTTCTCCGGTCCCGGGAACCGAACTCATGACCTTGTGCTTGCCAGGCAGGTGCTTTGCCGCTGAGCTAAATCCCCAGTCCCTCAGTAGTCTTTTAATCAGCTGTTAACAGGCGTGGCCCATTCAGATAAGTCTTGGTTGGGTCCTGAGTTAAGGTCATTGGAAGCTGCTACTTATACTCAAGACTATGATAATGACTACTGATTTCAGGTGACGCCATATACTTTCTCACTCTCAATTTGCAGACTGTAAAAAAAAGAAATTGGTACATTTTTACTGACCAATAATATCAATATGACCTTATACAACAACTGCCAAAGATAGCTAGTTGTAATTCTCTACAACTGGGTTTGGTGTTGATCAAATGTTTCTCACTAGTACAAGCTTGCCACAGAGAAGCTGAGGAATATTTTCTTTATCTGGATGAAGCCAAGGGCCCCTGTTCCTTCTGCCTAGTTCTGTGCCATCCCCAATCTCTCAGTGGCCCAGACTGTGTGCACAGGCTAGTTGTATCTTTGAATTAGAACCAATGCTGTGGCCAGCATGGAGGTACAGGCTTGTAAGCTCAGCTACCCAAAAGGCTGAAGTATCACAAGTTTGAGGCCAGACTGGGAAAACCTAGCTAGACCTTGCATTAAAACAAAATTTGTAATGAAAGGGCTGGAGATGTAGCTTGGTAGTAGAGTATCTGCTTAAGATGAGTGAGGCTCTGAGTTCAGACCCCTGAGGGAAAAATGAAGGAAGGAAGGAAGGAAGGAAGGAAGGAAGGAAGGAAGGAAGGAAGGAAGGAAGGAGAGAAAGAGAGGAAAGAAAAAGAGAAGGAAAGAGAGAGAAAAGAGTGAAAAGAGAGGAGAAAGATTATCACAGCAGCAGCAGTTGCAAAAATATATACGTATGTATGACGTTAGGAAGGAAAACCACTTACTCTTTACTGCCCATGACTCACTAACTGATGGTGGTCTATCTTCTAACTTGTTTTCCAGTATGACCTCCTTTCTCCTTCCCTACCATCACTGCTCTTCTTGCCATTTCTTGTCATTTTAACAGTTAAGTTTCCCTGCCCCAGTCCCATCTGCTCAAGTCCATCCCCAAATTGTTTCTAAAAATACCGGCTAAACTGAAGCGTGCCCACTGGCCCTCCTTGCCGAGGCACCTAGTCCCCTTCACAGAGGCCGCAAATACAAGTACCATCCACAAGCACGGGAGACAAGTATTAAACAGTAGGGCGTGTGAGGCCATGGTGAAATGCATTCAGGTTTTATTTTATGCCAGCCATCAAAGCAACCTCTGCAGGCTGAAAGCCCTCCATGAGCGATGGCGTTGGCACCTTAGGGAAACCAACTCCGCATCTCCATCTGCCTCGTTTCCCCTGGGCTTCATGCTCTCCACCCTTCCCCCTCTCCTCCCACGCCCTTCTCCGGCCTCTGCTTTCTTAACATCTCAGGAAGCTTTCCTGGTCATCGCCACACCCCTAAGTAACAAATATTTATCTTCTGTGCTTTTATAGAACTGTATGTTGTTCTCTCCTATTGCTTTGACTGCCTTCTGTTAAGGTTTATTGGGGTTTCTCCCGGGAATACGAAGTCCTTTGGGAACAGAGTCACTGTGGCGTTTGTGCACAAGTCTCTATGACTATGTCCGTAATAATCATTCACTAAATATTTGCTGTACCGGGGACTAATCTGGGAGCCCAGAAGAGCTCTGTTTGAAATTGAACAGTCATCTGTTTGCTAGGGATTAGTTATTCAACAACACTTTGTGTCCCAATTGTTCTTTCTAGATGGAAACAGCATGGTTTCATCCAAAGTTTGTTTTTTTGGTTTTGGTTTTTTTGCGAATGAAATGAAATGAGATGAATAAGTAGCACAAATCTGGCATTTAGTTGGAATCCAGAAAGCAGCTTTGAGAGTATAAGTTGCCTTTGCCCGTACTGCTGTCTAATTATTTCCGCTCTTCTTTTCTATAGCTGCAGTGTAAACGTGCAGATGTCTTCTCCAATACTCTGTTGTTATAAACCTTCCTTGGGCTATGATGACACCTATTAATTTCCTGGATTAGGTGGTTACTGGAAAAATTCCCTTTCTTTCTGGTTCTCCATAGTTGGCTTCCATGATAGCAAGCAACATGAAAACTATACAAAAAACTAAGCCATGGTGTGCAGAATAAAGGCTGTCTTTGGGGAATATTGACTGAGGGAGCCTATGGAAGTTTGTACTGTGCTGGAAATGCTCTCTACCTTGATCTGCTTGGTGTCTACACAGCTGTGTACATCTGCCATCTTTCATCCAGTGTGGTGGGTTGACTCATGACCCCCAAAGAGAGGTTGAAGAAGTCCTAATCTCCAGCGTCTGTGATGTGACCTTATTTGAAAATAGTCTTTCCAGATATACTCAAATAATAAGGTCATTAGGGTGAACCTTTGTCCCATATGACCACTGTTCTTGTACAAAGAGGGAATTGTGGATATATACACACAAATGGAAGGGTGCCATGTGAAATCAGAGATCTGGATTTAAGGGGGGCCAATATTGCCAGTCACTAACAGAAGCTAGGAGGCAAGGAAGGATTCCATTCAGAGTTTCAGGGGTGTGTGGCTCTACTCACACCTTGAGTTTGGACTTCTAACTTCCAAGACTATGATAGAATAATTTATTCTGTTGTTTGTTTTTAAACCACCCAGTTTGTAATAATTTGTTAGGACAATCCTAGCAAATGAACATAGGTCTTGATACTAGGAAGGGAGATGTAATAAACACCTCAAATGTGGGAGTGATTTTGCAATTGGATAAAGGGTAGAGGCTGGAAGAGTTTTCAGGAAGTCAATAATAAAAGCCTAAACTGCCTTGAAGAGAGGATGGCAGAGTTTTTTTTGTTTTGTTTTTTTTGTACTGGGAATCGAACTTAGGACCTTATGCTTGCCAGGCAAGCACTGTGTCACTGATCTATATCCCTGGCCCCTAGAAGTATTAAAGACTATTCTAGTGAGAAGTCAGAGAAATGTGAGAACCAAAGAGAAAGCTCTACATTTATCATTCTGGAAAAGAATATATCATCATAAACAGAATGTTGCTAAAATAGGAATATCAAAGGTGTTTCTGGTGAGTCTCAGATGGAAATGAGAAACATATTATTAGACACTGGAGGAAAAGCAATCTTTGTTATAAAATGGAAGAAAACTTGACTGAATTATATTCTATTGCTTT